AGCCATGGCTAGCTGGTGTAATTTTGTAACAGCAAAACCTGTGTTTGACCATATATAACAGTCTTAAAACTCGTTGGAATGTATTTTTGATTTGGAATTACTTGACTTGGTTCTAACAAAGTCATTTTCACACACATCAGTGGTGCAAGTTTAGTCTTGTAAAGCATTGTATTTCATGTTCCTAAATAGAATTAAGATCAGAGGGGGAAGAATGACAATTAGTGAATAGTGCCTTTTTTTAGAGAAGGTAAAATCATCATTTGGTTTATAAAGGGCTGAGACACTGAGCCAGTCTAAAACATAAGGATGCAACTGCAGTTTCCCATCACTAGATAGTGCTATTGCCTCAAGATGAGAAATCGTCTTGCTTTTAGTATTGCAGCTACCAGAAATAGAGGTGAGGAACAAATACAGCAAAGGTCCTCAGTGAAAGAAATAGACTGGCAAATGCACTGTAGAAAATGCAGTGTAGAAAATAAATAACTGCAGTAATGCTCACACTAAGCCAAATATTTTCTTTAAATGAAAATATAACAGCAAAAATCATTTGTTTCCAGTTTTCTCACATATGTGCATGCTGAAATACAGCTTACTGCTTAGTCAGTATGTGGTGCCTTCTTTCTAATCTGTTAAATAGTAGCAAACCCTTCTAATGGTTGCTTTCTTTCTTTATTATAGCTATTTACTCTGCTTTTTTTTTTTCCCCTAGGAATTAGTTCTGAATGCTACACAGAGGTAATTTTTGTTACTGGTGTTATACAAATAGTAACACAGTATGTCTCTCCTCCCTGTTCTTCCATAGCTAGGAACTCTTAACAACAGACTTTGTAAAAATGTTTCTTTACATGTTAAGAAAAGAGAACATGAAGGAAAGACAATTCTTCCTATTTAAAAGAGAAAACAACCAACAAGAGACCAAAAAATCAAAAGAGAAGAAAACTTTTTCTAAAGGCACTCAAAATGCAGTATCAGTTCAAAAGGAGTAAAGAACTGAACAATTAATGGTTGGAAAGTAGGGAACTTTGTTCTGCATGCTAATTTGTACCTCATTTCTCATCACAGATATTTCAGATAATAATGCATTTCTACTAATGCAAAAGCTTGATTTCCAATATTAATTCCAACATTTTTATTAAGCTTTCTGTGTTATTCTGTTTTCTAAGGAAAAATAAGGAAATGTGAATGAACTAAAATCTTCTGTCAGCTCTCACCCTAGCACAAATATACGATACTGATGCTTGGATCTCTGGCAGCCACCCACGGAACCTTTTTGCTTTCACCAGGAACGGCTATGAGACAGGCAAACAAAAGAATGTACCCACAAGTGTTGGCTACTCTTCAAGCCATTCTAAAATTCACCTCTTTTGGTTGGGACCTTTGATGTATCATTTCTGTAGGATTTGGCAGAGAATGTATTCGCACTGGCTACCTATTAACTTGCACGTAGATGTAGAATAAATGGGAATTTACTTATCTGTACAGAAATATATCAGTAACAAGAATAAAAAGAGATGCATTTTTTTTAAGTGCCAAAGTTGGTTTATCAAGGCCATTTCAACAAACACAGCAGGGCCAGAAAGTACATTTTGTTATGGCAGCCTAACTAATTATTAGCACACCTGTCAGTGTGATTTATGTCCATACCGAGTAGCGTTCCTTGAGAAAATCTCTGGGCGTGGGTTACAGAATAATACCTGCCAAGAGCTACCTCTATAGAGCACCATGGATGAGACTGTTTCATTCCATCCACCCAAGGGAATCCTAGCAGACTTCATAACCTTTCAGTGCTCCTGCATGCCTTCCCATCACATACCATGGTACTGAAGGTGAACACCATTTTCTCAGTTTAGTGATAAGTAAACATCATTCTGGCAGGCTGCATTGGCTTATTTTGACTGAAAAAAAAAGTCATAAAGTAGTTACAGCTCCTAGCTCTGACTCATGTAGGTGTAGCCCAAGGCATTCTGAAGTGGGCTTTGGGTGCCTAAGCAGGACGGAAACATCGTGGGAAATGCTTTTCTTGTAGAACATTCAGGATGGAAGCATATTGCAACTTGTCTGACATTTACAATCAAAATATAAAGATATTTAACATTCTTTAATTTTTGTAATGAGCAAATTGCCTTTCCCGCACGTTCTTTAAAATGTCCTTTAAAATATCAGCAAGATGCAGAAATTATTCTTCAAGTCTGCCACTCGAAGTGCATCATTCAAATTTTTGGCACACGCTGAACACTGTGGATTGTTTTAAGTTAATTATTTGTTTAAAGCACATCTAATTAGCATGGGTAGCAATGCAAAGATCATACACTGTTTAAAGGCAGACAGTATTTCTAACTTTACAGATCAGTGAGGTGTATTACTGCATGGCAATTCCATTGTTTGTGCAAGAAATACAGCAAATGAAGTTCCTTATCATAGCAGGAGGTCAGACTTAAAGCCACCAGGTGTTTCTTTGGGCAAAAGAAGAACGGAGTAATAAACTTAAGCACAGATAACCCCTTTCTTTATTGTTTTATAATCCACTGTTCTCAAATACATGACAGTAAATTAGTTTTACAAGTCTGTAGATGCACCATATGGATTACGTGGACCTAACACCAAATAAGTGTGTGATTTCCCAAGTCAAGCAGGTGGAGGTCATGGTGATAAATTGAAACTGTTTGCTTTCCTGAAGGCCTTTGTTTCACTCTCAGATTTAGCATAGGCATAAATTATACATGTACTTCAGCTAGTCCAGCTTGCCTGCAACTACAATTTGTGGGTTCACATGCTCACAAAGAGTGAATAGTAAGTTCTGTAGAGAAGAATGATCTCACTGAGTCTGAAAGACAATAGGATTTATTCTATAAATAATATTAAGCAAATAAAACATAATATTTAATATGGTCATCTCTTTAACCAAAAATGAATGGAGAACAAAAAAAAAAGTAGCTTGCAGATAAAAAATATGGAAATTACTCATCCGTATATGTTTCCATGGTCTTTGATGATGATTCATAAAAATACTAGCATAAATTAATTCAAGATAGAACCATTTATAATTGAACAAATCATCAGGAAAAAAAAACTATGTAAAATTTGGCCTATTAAAGCTGGTTCCTTGCCAGACATTAATATGAAGAAAGTAGGTTGCAGAAAGAAATCAGAGTTCTGCCTTAGATATCTAACTAAATATGTATTCAGTCATTGACTTATTGAATCACAACATTTTGTCTCCAACATTTCTGTCTTAACTAATTCCTCTTAACTACAAGGCTGCTCCTAAAGCAATTCTCCTACTTTATAATGCTGGCCCATGACCTCAGAGATGGATGTTGGTGATATGACATAGAAGTTGAACCTTCTCACTAATATTCCTTCACATTTTGTTGGCAGCAGAAGGGCAGTCTGACAAAATGGTGTCTAACGTGGAAGTGTGTATGAAGCAAAGGGGTGGAACTGAATTCTCACACGTGGATAAAATATCTCCCATTGATATTCATTGATGTTTGCTGAATGTTTATGGAGAGCAAACAGTGGATTTTGGCACAGTGAGGTGGTGGGTGGTGCATTTCAGCAGTGGAGACATCAATATGAAAGACAAGCCATGTTCCAGACAGCCTTGCAGTCACACCACAAAACTAAGAGCATCTCAATCAGATAGTCCATGTGAATCAATGGATTTTAACCAGGGAGCTACGTACAGAGCTGAATATTGGCTTCAACACATTGGAAATGGAGGTGGCCACATTGGAATATCCCAAAGTTTGTACCAGGTGGGTCCCACGAATGCTCACACAGGGAAAGAAAGAACACCACATGCAAGTTTGCCAGGACCTATTGAGCCAACATGAGGTTGAAGGTGACATGTAGGCTCTTTTTCGTCACTGGCAAAAACACGTAGGTAATGGTAGTAACTACACAGAAAAAAAGCAGTGTTTTGGAGGTTTTGTTTGCTTGTTTTAATAGCGGAGAAGTTGCTCTATCAGATAATGTTACTGCACTCTTTATCTGTTGCAGCTTCCATGGAAATAAAAAAGAGACATTACTTTTGGAACAACCTGCACAGACACCTGTATTCTCAGACTGCTGCACAGAGAGATGCAGATTTACGCAGCTGATGTGTATCTGTTCGGACAGATACTTACTCTTAAGCACTCCCCAAAGGGCTCTGTAGTGAAGATGCCCAGCCAGGGAGCTCCTGAAAACTACCCAGAGATGTGCAAAGTGACAGAGGGCCTCTTAACCTGCCTTTGCCCTGTCATCTTTTGGAAGCTTGCAGGAAATGATCCTGTGTTTACCTAGATAGGGAAAGTCCTCACCCTTTCCTCATTTCTTGCATAATGCCATGAAGTAGCTAATCTCCTTGTAAATCAAATTACTTCACATCATTTTCCCTCTCATTCATTCTCAGCCACGTTTATCCCAGCGTGCAAGAAAGGAAGTTGTGTGAATCTAATAACACTGAGATATTCCCATGGTACCAATATGTTCCCCATCACTGCGGGTTTTATCAGGAGCAGAGGACAAAGCAGCAGCACACATATAAGAAAGGGATGGTGGTTAAGCACCAGGTGTGCTCCCCTTTCCCTCCCAGAGGGAGGGAATGGCTTTTCCCTCACACAGCCACCAAGCATCACGCTGCTATGTAGCTCAACAGAAGGTTTGTAGAGGTGTTTGCTGCCGCTGCACATGCAAGGTATCTCCTTTGAAGAAACAGATCCCTTTGTGTTCCGTAACTCACCAATATCTGAGAGCAATAAGACTGCTTCTGTGTGTGATATGCAAATCTCTGCATGTAGTGTTAAATAGCTGTTATGCAGTGGCCAACGCCCTGCCATTTGTTGAAGCAAACGCTGTGCACAGCAATATTAATAGTCAGTCCATATCTGACCTTTGTTAAATTACAGCTCATTCCACCTTTGTTCTTTGAAATTCTCCTTTCAAACCAGCTTAGGAATAAGAGAACTCAGTAAACAAATCAGTGTGAAAAAGTGTAGCAGTTCATGCATACATACGTGATACACATAGGCCATGATCCCTGGCAGTAGCACTCCCACGATGCAAACCAGACTTTCGGGTTTGCCAAGCAAGATGCAGTCTCGCATTCAACTCCGTGATATTTAATACCTGTAATATGAGACATTTTGAAAACTTTACCTATTTCAAAATGTTAAGGCACACCATGGACATGGGTGGACAGAACTGCAATCAGAATCTGAAGTAGTAAAAAAGAAAAAAAAAAAAAAAAAAAAAAGGAGGAAACAAGGAGACAAAGACACCTCTACCTCATCTGCTGCCTTTGCCAATTCCATTGCCTTTGTTATATGTAGGCCAGTCCAAAAATAACACCTCTTGTTTATTTCTATGCAAACTACAACAGATACACAGAGCACAATTGCACTGATAGCGCAACTTCTCAGCTACAAAGCACTATTTTTCAACAGAGTCACAGCCATCAGCTGTGTATTTTTGGCAGTGATAAACATGAGCCTGCATGCTGCGATCACAGCCACCTTCATGGCGGTCCTGAACATGGTTTATCTTTCACATTGCCCTCACCACTGCTGGAATGCAGCACCAACCACCTCACTGTGCTCACATCCATCCTCAGGGCTCCACAAACGTTCAGCAAACATCAGTCAATACTGGTGGGCAGCACTTTTATCACATGGAGGAATTGAATTCCATGCCTTTGCTTCATGTGCGCTTCCACTTTAGATATTCTGCCCCTTTGCTGCCACCTGTTGCATGGCAACAAAACGTAGTGGAACATTGGTGGGAAGGTTCAATTCCACTGCCAGACTGACATTCACCTCTTATGTCATGGGCCAACATAATAGGAACCAGTACTTTCAGAGCAGCCCTCGTAGTTTACAGCTGTATTTATTAATGCCCAACACTCAAACTCTCCCATCAAGTGTGCTCGCCTCAACTTTGCGCCTACTGTGATGGAACTGCTCAGGGAAATCCTGTTCACTTCTGGTCATCGTTTCGAGGACACAGCAAGGAGCAGAATGAGGCAGGACTGGAACTATGATAGGAACTTCTGCAGCCAACACAGAAGCCTCATCTCGTGCAGCCGTGCCAGTGACTCATTAGGAGAAGAGCCGAGGGAAGGGCACAGCTGGGGCCAGACGGTTTCAGAGAGCGAGCACACAACGACCTGCAGGAGGGCAAAGCCGCAGTTCGAGCTGAACCCCACTGACGGGAGCTGCACCCGCACTCTTTGCAGCACTATAATCCCTATCTACAGAACCCCATTAACTTCCTGCTACCTGTCAAACGCTTCCTTGGTCACACTGCAACGCCAACCACCTAAATCCGCAGTTCGTCAACATACTTAACCGCATTTTCCCAGGAAAGATATCCAGAACGCAACGTCACCGGCGCTGGGAAGGCAGGCGGCGTTTGCACTGGGCGATAAGGAGCGATTGCGGAGTGCTCGGTCTCCTAGCAACCGTGCAGCCGCCTCATGGCAATTCGGCAGCGCGGAGGCTCCGGGCCGGCGGCACCGTGGAGGCGAGGGGCTGCGAGCGGCGGTAGGAAGGTAAGCGGACCACGAAGGACCGCGCTGTCGGGGGGGACGTGCGCGGAGGGAAGCATGCTTAAGAACTCGCGAGCGCTGCGGGGAGCGGACGCCCTCAGCTGCCTCGCCGCTCTCCCAGCACGACGCGTGGCTCGTCCCGCACAGCCGCCGACGCAGCGAGGGTGCCCCGCAGCGCCGGGAGCAGCCGGACGGAACGGCCGTGGCAGCACCGGGGGCGCGCGTCATGGCGCCCCCCACAGACGGCGGCCATCGGCGGATAGAATCCGCCAGGGATTAAATGCGCGTGCCCCGGATGGCCACGCCCTCCCCGGTGCTCGCCGCCCAATCAGCGCACGGCGGGGCGTGGCGGGCCCCGCCCTCGGCGGGATGCGCGGCGCGGGGTGACGCGCAGGGCGGAGGGATGGTGGCGGCGCGGCCGTGTGCGCGGCGCGCGGCCAACGGCTGCTTGGGGGTCGCGCGGCGGAGCGCGCGCCGGGTCCCCGCCGGCCGCTGAGGTGAGGGGAGCGTGGCGAGGGGGGGCCGAGGGCCGGCGGAGCGCAGCGAGGGGGCAGCGTCGGGCCGCGTGGGAAGGAAGACGCCGGGAGGGGCCGCCCGGGGGAGCACCGGCCGCGGGGACGGCGGGCGTCCGCCGGGAGCGGAGGGGCCCCGCGGGCGGAGAGGAGACGCTCGGCAGGCCGCGCTCGGCGGCGGCCGCGCGGAGGGGAGGTACGGCGGCGAGACGGGGCCCGGGGCCGGCCTGCGGGGCGCGGCGCGGCCGGGGGCTGACCTGTTGCTGCGGGGGCTGCCGGAGCCGGCGGCCCTTCGTGCCGCGTGTGCGGCTGCGGCCGGTTCCGTGCCGCCGTGAGCCGCCTGCAGCGGGCACCGCTACGCCTGACTGTGGGAGCGGCCGAGCGGTTCCGGCCGGGAAGGGACCTCTCCTAAGAAGTGCTTACGCCGGTAGAATGTTAAACGATGGTTTTGAAAGCGGAGAACGTCATCTGCGCTTGGCTGACAGGGAAGCTGCCCGGCCCTCGGTGCAGCATTTGTGGATGTACAGCTTCGTGCCAGGAGCGCCGATGTGTGCGCAGAGCTTCTAGAAACAGCGGTTCCTACTGAGCAGAAAGCCTTCACTGGCATGTGCAGCTAACTGTGCTTTCTGTGCTTTGCCTCTAAGTACCTTGTTGCATCACTTGACTGTTCCAGGCACAGTGTAAAAGCCATCGATTCCATTGCCAATGGTGCAGCCCGCAGAGGACACTGGAGGTTGGACTCAGTGCTCCTTCCAACGCAGGATATGCTGTGATTCTCTGGCCTGTGCCTTCTGCTTCGTGCTGGGGCCTCGCTGCTTCCTGCTCTCTCCATCAGTAAAGGGACGCAGGGAAGAGTCAGCTGTGTGTGTACCATGTTTTACATGATTAATTTGTGAAATCTTGAGCAAAAGAGGATGGAGCGATAGTGGGATGAAAGGTGCAAGAGTTCTGGATCTCTGCTGTTTTCTGCATAACGTATTCTCTAAGTTTCAAAACCACGGATTGATTTTTGACTGTTGAACGTGTTTCCTCTTGAAACAACATTAGATGGTTTTATGGTCTGCGTTTAATTCAAAGTGTTAATTATAAGGTGTTCATCATAAGCAGCTAGCAGAGTGAGGGCAATATTTCAGGCTGTGGTAAGAGGCTCATCACCAGGAATGCAAAGGAGTGCAGAGGCACGACAGTAGTGGTGGTGGAACCATGGGGGAACCATGAATCTCATTAGAGGAATTAGAGATTAGTGTTTGTGTCCTGTCACAGGACAGCCATCGGCCCCATTGCCCAGGGTGTGACACACAGCATGTCAACAGGCTTTCTGGAACAGCTTACAGGGTTGAGAGGGGTAACTGCCAGCAGAGCATGGGTCGTCTTATGGGATGCAGGAGAGGAGCATCTTGTGATTGTATAGAGCTTCTTACAGATGCTTAAGGGAGTGACCAGAGGAGGGGAGCAAGGTGGTTTGCAGAGCAACAATTATGGGAAAATAGATGGAAAAGAGGATAAAAAGGCCCAGTCAAGTGCAAACAAACACTGGTCAGCATGTTTGTCTGGTTGTATCCTATGCTGAATTTCTGCAGCCTGTTCCTTTTTGTCATTAAGCTCCATATATAACTGTTCTCCTGGAAGAGAGGACTCTGTATTCATATGTGCATATTGAAGTCTCAGTGCCAGCAACAGGAATGATACTGTAAGCTGTAGGGACCTCTGTGACTGATGAGAGAAAGAGAGAGTCTAGGTGCCACCAGCTGGGTTGGTGACCTGGAGAGAGCAGAGCACGTGTGTTGGCAGGTCTGCCACTGTATGGTTGCTCGTGAGCATTGGGCTGGGCTGGCTGGTGAGTAGGACAGCGGGCCTGGGGCCAAGTATGAGTGCAACTGGGTGTGGGCACAGTGCTAGTGAGATGAGGGGATATTTGAGCTGGCAGTGAGAGAGATCAGAAGAGAATATGAGGTTTGAAAATTGTTTTAGAGGCCCATTGGTGTACATGTGTGAGAGAGGTGACCGGATACAAAGGCTGTCTGGGTACTGGATAGGTGGAGCATCTGGGGCCGTTCAGTGAGGAATCTGTGGTGCACCCATGGGGAGTTGGCACTGTGAATCATGATGAGATCTGAACCAGGAATGGGAGGGGGTCTGTGGGGAGACCAGCAGTTCCTGGTTAGATCGAGTCCCTGTAGAGATCCGCGTTGTGCATATGCTCGTATTTCACACTAACAGACCTTTGTCTTGGCCAGGGAACAGCGTGAGGTGTTGTGCATGTGTGCTGTACAGCCTCAGCCTTGCTGCTGCTGGTGCCTGGGACAAGAAGCTGCAGCAGCCTCGGGCTGGCAAAGTGCAGGGTTTTGCATTTGGGCCGGAAGAACCCCAGGCACCTGTACAGGCTGGGAGGAGTGGTCCTTGAGAGCAGCTCGGCAGAGAAGGACCTGGGGGTCCTGATGGACGAGAGACTGAATATGAGCCAGCAGTGCGCTCTGGCAGCTCGAAAGGCAAATGGGATCCTGGGCTCCATCAGGAGAGGGGTGGCCAGCAGGGACAGGGAGGTGATTGTCCCTCTCTACTCGGCTCTTGTGAGGCCCCATCTGGAATACTGTGTCCAGGTGTGGAGCCCTCAGTACAAGAAAGACATTGAGATTTTGGAAAGGGTCCAGAGGAGGGCAACTAAGATGATCAGGGGGCTGGAGCACCTCCCCTATGGGGACAGGCTGAGGGAGTTGGGCTTGTTCAGCCTGGAGAAGAGAAGGCTGCGGGGTGACCTCATTGCAGCCTATCAATACCTGAAGGGAACCTGCACCCAGGAGGGGAGTAAACTCTTCAAAAGGGCTGATAACAGCAGGACTAGGGGAAATGGTTTTAAGTTGAAGGAGGGAAGATTTAGGTTGGATATTAGGGGGAAGTTCTTTACTAGGAGAGTGGTTAGGCCCTGGAACGGGCTGCCCAGGGAGGTTGTGGATGCCCCGTCCTTGGACGTGTTTAAGGCCAGGTTGGACGGGGTCCTGGGCAACCTGATCTGAATGTGTATGTTTGGTGGCCCTGCTAGGCAGGGGGGTTGGAACTACATGATCCTTGGGGTCCCTTCCAACCCGGGTGATTCTGTGATTCTGTGATCTGTGGCGTGACCGGCAGCACCCAGCAGGTGAAAGTTACTGCA